TAATCATAAAGTAAGATATTCATATTAAATACATTGAATCCTAAATGCAAACACAATCAAGTTTGTTAGCTGTCTTTTGAGGGATGAGAACGCTTTTTGTACCGTTTTTAGTTCCTAGAGAATAGAGTGGATGCTATTTACCTTATCGGTTGCGACTGGATTCCTCTTAGAACTGAAAAGTGCGGTCGCAACATGCGTTTTGCTTTTGTTTCACCGCCTGAGCCGCTCTCATCTGCCTAGGCTATCTCTATTCCCTTTATTTATAGTCACTGCATCGGTTGAGCTACTTGCAGAGACCGGTTTTCGATTTACTGAATTGTCTGGTTTGTTCCCTAAACCCTTAACGTTCACTTCATCCGTTATGCTGCTGCTTCCATGAATCGGTTTTCGATTCATTACATTCCCTGAGTCGCCGTGTACTGCAATAGTTTCATTGGGTGAGCTCTTGAGGTCTCCGAGTGGCGGCATTTGATTGGCTTCCTTGGCTGATGAGGAGCTAACGTGGCTTGACGAAGCTGTGTTAGCTTTCTTGTTATCCAAGAAACGAACGACAACACATGTGATATTGTCTGCACTTCCTCTCTTTATTGCCTCTGCAACAAGTTTCTTAGCCGAGTCCTCTGGATCTTCAACTTCCTTAACCATTGCAACTGCTTCCTGCAAAATATGATCAAAGATTATAGTAAGTATATAGGAAGGAGTAGGAAAATGAAGATGTTAAAGAAAGCAATTAACTTCACAGACCTCATTAGAGAAAACATCCCATAGCCCGTCACTTGCTAGAATCAGAAACTCGAGAGAATCGTCAATTTTTTCTTCCTGTTTTCAGTGTTCGAGAGAAATTTGTCAGCGCGCGGTCATCATATCGCGATTTGGTTCTTATAGAAGTGATGGAAAATACCCGGATTTCTGGATCAGCAACAACATATTGCTTCAAAAGCCGATCACCAAATGCACGAGAAACTGCAAGAACTCCTCCAACCCTCCAAGTTCCTATTCAATTTATGATTGCCACACACAAAAACACCAATTAGGTCTATGTGTTGAGAAAGCAATGAAGCAGAAAACTATAATTCTATAGTTTCTTGTTAGTTACCTGCCCACATCACAAATCCACCAGCATTCTCTATCCTTTCACGCTCATCGCTTTGGTCAGGTTTATGATCCCTTGACACAGCAATGGCTGCAAACAATCTTATCAAGAGGCAGATTCAT